ATCTTTTGAATGCAAATTTCTTTTTTAGTCTTACCTAATATAGAAAAGAATAACTAAGTTAAAGCATCATATAAACAATGTAGTTACTATGAGGGAATAATATCTAAAATTTTTATTAATTTGTAAATGACTCTTCGTTATGAAGATTGAATATAAGCTTCTTATGAAAATAATCTACGGTGGCGCGATACACCGCTAACTAATTCATCCCTAGAGTTACATCAAAATCCTCCGTGTCTAGTATTATCAGGTCTATACTCAATTTTATATCTACTATTTCTACGATACAAGCTTTGTATCCCCTAATAGTGTCTCATTCCCAAGAGTAGACACAAATAACACATAATCAAGATTTTCAGGTAACACATTCAAATTTTTTAGAAAAATATGTAAAATAAAAGAATGTGAAGCATCAATATCAATTAAAACATATGCAAGGTGATTACAGATAGTGTATGTACCATGTATCACATCCGGGTTGGCTTCAGTATCCTACTGGGTGAAGGTGTAGGCTCTGCCTTAAATTAGAGATTTGGTCTGATTTTGATTTCACGAGCACTCTCTCGCGTAGTACTGGGCACTTCCACATATACGGAAGGTATTATTGAGGCAATAGTAGGGTCGGTCCCCATGATCTTGCCATAATACTGACAAATCCTACCGCGTCTTGTTACCAGAACCTAATAAGGAGCTTGAGTCACAGGCCTAAGTCTCTTATCTCTTGGTCTGCTAAATCAGTGCAGTAGGTGCTGGTTTGCAGTGTGAAACTGAGGGTTTGGAATTGCCCATTGTTGGAGGAAAGATGCGAAGGTTCATCTCTATTAGTTGTGCATTCGCCATAACTACTGAGTAGGTACTGAGCTCAAATATATACAGTTGTTGTCTGATATCAGGACAGAAGTCCCACTCAAACTTCTTTATCTTTTTGCCTTTATCCATCATGTTCTCAGGAGAATACCGATCAAACTCCAAGAATTTTTGGGCATACTCAGAAACTATCATCTCACGCTAGACCAGGTGTGCAAACTTCATCTTCTTCAAATGTCGAAGATGCTCTAGGAAGTACTATACATTAAAGGCTACCAGAAACTGTTCCCAAGTGACTAGAATTGGCAGGGTGGCCTACTTAAGCTACCGCCAGCGACTTGCCTCATCCACGAACATGTAGGTAACAAGTATGACCTTTTGTTCAGGAACCACCCCAAGAGTTACGAATGCCTTCTCTGTCTCTACTAACTAGTACTCAGTCTCTTCGAAAGAGGATGCCCTTGTAAAGGTAGATGGATTAAGTCTCTTATACCTCTTAATGTAGCTTGAGTCCACCATGGGTGGAAGTGGGTCCTGTTGAAGAGGGACTGGATTATGTTAGGGAGGGGCCAAGTGGCCTTGTGGCGACACTTGATTGTATGGTGGGGGCACCAGATTATACTGTGGC